GTGTTAGAGTTATTCAGTTGGGGCGTAAGCAGACACGATAAACTGGCATCGATCAACTTCCCACTTATGAGATTCCTTCACAGACGTTGCCAGACGAACCGCACAGAGGCGACCACAAACGGGTATCCAGTCAAGCAACGATCCTTCTGCCCGGTGACTTAGGACGATACTAACGACTGCACATCCCTCCGCAGCGGCCTCTGGTTCGCCAGAGGTGCGCAGCCGTAAGCGAGTGGAGAGTGATGAGGCGGTTAGCTAAGTTACTGTGCATGCATCTTCAGTTCTTGTCAAGGTAGTCCAGTGTGACAGCAAGTGTGCGGGAGTGTTGACCTAATTGCTTCAGAGTGTGAACACTTAACTGGGTCAGATAGACTGGACGTTGAGGCTTGAAGAGTGACTTCGAAATGCCTGAGGATGTCGGCGCCGGATGATGCGCTAATGATGCAGGACGGAGTCATCAGTCCTAAGTGTTGGGCCTACAAGGAGAGAGTTATTAATGGGATGAGGAGAGGTGGAGAAAAATCAAGTGTGAAAGAGAAAGAAAAGCGTCAACAGTGGTATATTTTCGCTTTACCGCTCTGCTGTATGTAGCAAGTAAGGTGACGCGACTGATGGCACCACGCGGCAGTCGATGTGACATGATTGATTTTTAGACGTAGTTACCATGGTTGTATGTGGGCTGGGATACTGCCCACACATAGACAGGAGGACGATTATGGCCCCCAACCAAAGACTGGCCCAAAAGCCCTACTTCAAGGCAGCAGTATTTGACTGCAGACGCAAGAACATGGGCATTTCTACAAAACACGTCGCCACACGTGTTCAAACCCCAACCTGGGGGACCTCTAGCCGTTGACCAACCTGATATGAGAATTTGCGAGCATCAAGTGGACACGGAGATACACAAACCTTCACACCACCTTAAAGTCAAGTCTCTTCGTGATGACCCGGTAAAACCCACTAGTTGCAAGCTTCAAAAGCACTCCGGAAGCTAAGTATTTGCGGAATGACCAATCTATCTATTGAGACGAAACCGAAGGAAACCTTGAGTGATAGTCGACGGTACGCGTGGCTCTTCTCAAGCAATAACGTGATGCAAAAGTGCGGTTAATGCATCACCAAACCTTGCCGGAATCCCGGTTCTGTAAGGTTAGCTTCGCAGCACCACGGAGGATATCAGCTGAGTCGTTACTATGGTAAGGATTATACATCTCTGGGCACAGCGGTCGATTCAGACACTTTGGATTAAGGATCCTTGTCTGGAGTGAGTTCTTCTTACAGTGCAAATACTTGTCGTCGTATTTGTACACTGCTGGTAGTAGCCTATTCAGCCAGATGGCCAAAGAACATACTGGAAAAAGGAACATAAAGTCGCGAACTGTGGTTTGCGTTGAAGGGCTCGAGAAGGCATGAGTACAAGAGCAGATGACTAACTAAGTTGTCACCAGAAACATTCTGTCCAGCGGTTAACACGCCGACTCTTGTTGAACATCAGTTATCATAGATTAGTTACAAAATTTGGTCTTTGATTACCCTACTGGCAACCGATTTCTTGGGTTCGTTTGGGATGAACTGGGACAGCTTCGGAATACTCCAGGATCCAACAGCGTCCTCCTTTTCCACAGCTTTCTAGTCCCATCAGGTGTCTCTGTCCACAAGCAGGGACCTGCTGACTCCTAACAAACCTCATTGAACCCTAAAGATACAAGGTGTCGCATCAAAGATCGATAATCGCTGTTCCAAATTTAAGTGCTTATTGTTGAGCGTCCTCACGCCCCTATACCCGATCTGAAGCTGTCACGTGGTCGCAGTGATCGGGCTTTAGCAGTGCCATGAGCATGAGGGCTGCACTGGCTAGAACTCAGTTCAAACAGTTCAAACCAGTGGGACCAACGGCGGGCTGCCAGGCGAAGAACGAGGAGCGCCCGTGCCGTGAGAAATCGTATTACGAGGTAATCTAGACTAACTTCTAGGACAAAAGTGCGGAGTTAGTAGTGTTTCCTTTGAGATACTTATGGCGTCAAAGTGGTTTATCCCTGAATCTCAAGGGGCATGTATCAAGCTACAGTACGGGCTGTTTTGTTGTATGGCTGTGAGACTTAGCCAATTCGATCGGCGGAAATTGGACATCTTCAGATGTTCGACAATCGTTGTCTGAGGACCGTAGCTCGTGTGTGTCGGTGTCGGCGAATCCGTAATGAAGCTATTGGAAGGCGAGTTTTCGGTTGTGCAACGGGGACTCCAACTGAAGAATGTGTCCAGCACCAGAAGCTGCGTTGGTTAGGCCATGTACTGCGTATGCCGAACTATCGCATGCCGAAGAGAGTGCTCAATTAAGAGTAGCGGAAGCAGAGAGGTGGGCAACCCTCGACTTGGTAGAGGAGTATGAAGATCACGAAACGCTTGGGTGCTGTCGGTGCTATTCACCTTCTAGGATGGGGACCGTGTGATTCCCACTGGGCCTGGTTGGAGACACTACAAGATATGGCTGCCAGCCGATGTCAGTGACATTCTTGTTATCAGTTTCTGTCCAGATTGTCTGAGTGAATGTCTGGAGGTGTATGCAACTCAAAATGAGTGTGGTTAGCTACCACGAGGTCCCTCTCCCGTCCACCTTATTCTTTTCTTTACAATAAGGCTTTCAAATAAGTAATGGTCGCACGGCAAGGAAGCATCGGTGTTGAACACTGATGTCATGCTGTCGATGATGATGATGATGATGATGAAGGTACTTCTTTCAGGCGACCAACATGTCCATATTTATGGAGGCAGCGGTGCTGGCTTCTCTCAAAGAAGGACAGGTTAGAAAGGCTCAACCATAGAAGCCATACAAATCGCTCAACGGTTAACAGTGAGCAACGGCACATTACTTAAGACGGTCGAAATGATTTTCACACAAAAAGGAACTTGCTTTGAGTAGCTACATTAGGAGTCAGACGGCTATGCGCCGTCCATGGGTCCTCGGGCCAGGCAAGTACCCTGCAGTCCATTGGGAAATACTACTGGGTCACTGACCCCGAGCAAAGTCCATCAAGAAAATTATAACCCTCGACATCAGTATCACTGATAGAAATGAACTAGTGATACATACTGGTTCTTAACACTGAAGCAATCTGATGGAGGAAGGCTTTAGTAGAAATTAAGGAGAAAAAGGAAGATTAAGAGCCTTTTTACGAAAAAGCCCCATGTCCTTAAGGAAGGCAACCAGGAACAAGATTCCTATACGCTTGAACAGCATGAAAATAAACACACCACACACCTAAGCTTATGCCAGAGTGAGGTGCCATCAATGGGATCAACCCAGCTTTCTTGGGAAACCTCACACCACTTAAGCACAGAGCACAACAAGGGGCGAATAATTAATAAGCAGTCCGGCTAAAAATGACAGCATGTGCGCCACTGGAATCGACTACGTGTTGTAACCTGCAGGGTTTCTACTCATCTGAGAGCAGAACCACGTGGGCCCTAGCTAGGAAGGCAGGGAGATCTCACAGCGCTCAGTTCGACATTAACCACTTTCATTTCACGCTGCAATGTCATAGTCTATTCTTCGCAAACCTCTCGCTAAAAATCGCTCGGAACAGAAAACAAGGCTATCTTCGGTGGACAGCGGTTGGGCATACGTAGCCCCAGCTACCTTAACCTGGAAAGTATAATATGGTGCTCCAAAGAATCGGATTCACTACCAAGTACCCGCTTACGCACAATCTCACCACAGACTCGCCGAAACCAGCTCAATCTTGATAGGCTACAGAAACACTGAGGATGAAACACTTGAAGACACCTCGAGTCTTCGGATCAGAAGGGCTAAGACTCACAACCACACAGTAAGACCACTCTTGCAGTTGCTTTACATACTCGGCCCTTCAGCTTGAGGCGAAGTTCGATTCAGAAGCTATAAATGACTGGCAAACGCTGCTCGCGCCCTGATTATATGTGCGTTAACTTCGTCTGTTACAGTATAACCGCAGCTTGTGCCGACGTCAAGATATGTGAACCAATGAACAAGCTCAAGCTCTTTACGCTGGAGTCTCAGAGAGGCAAAATTGGCTGAGAAATCTTGGAGACATTCCACTCCGAACGTATGCCAAAACATGGCATCGCCTCCAATATTCTGATTGAAGTATTTTGCGCGAAAAAATAATCATCAAACGATTAAACTATCCTGCCTGTGAAACCCAAATCTATTAATCTCTTTCCAGAAGTGATTTTGAAACCTAGACACAAGGTCCCTTGGAGTGTGCACTCCATGGTGATGTGGATAACAAAATTGAACAAAATAAGACAGAGGGAACAACCTTGACGAACTCCACTAATTTTCACAAGCACTCTGGTAAGTTCTGTGTGCGCCCATCCGGGGGTATGGAAATGAAGAGCATGGAGAATGTTAACGAAATTCAAGGTCACTCCCTATCCAAGAATAATCGAAAGGGCTAGTCTACCTAGAGTGGAGTCCCTTTAAAGTCGAGGAAAACTATAATTGTTGGTTGGCCGTATAAGTGACGCTGTTTCAACACCTGGCGTAATGTAAGGATGTGTTCAACGCACCCACTTCCAGAACAAAGTCGTACCAACCCTCGGGTTCCAAACCTTTAAGTCACAAGCTAGGATAGGAGTCGCCGAACAAAACCCTCCCGTCTCGCTTTGCCTTGCAAACCGGACTTTTGAGTGAAATGCGAAGGGTTGGAAACCTAAATCAAACTCCAGTCTTAAGCCTGGGTAGCCATGATGTGTCGATCGCTCCTGGAGTTCTTCACTCACCCACTAATCTACACATGTCAGTCAGCTAAGTCTTTCCGTCACCTTACTCCGTATTTAGAAGTATTGCCGTCTTGTTAAGTCTTTCCGTCACCTTACTCCGTATTTAAGCTTTTGTCCAGTAAAATAACTCAACTCAATTCCTCATTGAACTCAAAGGATCTATTTTACATCACGGCCTTCAACGATCGTGCATCACGCTGTTTGCGACGAACCCAAAGTTCTCGCATTTTACTTCTCAGGTGTCTGATGGTCCTGATGCAATGGCTCGCGGTATTTACGACGTATAAGTCGCTCTTAGCCTCATGGATCGGTGCGCTTTCCTGGACTGGATTACAGTAACCGGTTTATTTTCCGCTGATTGGATCAATCAAGATCAATACATCTAGATGCGCGAGATAATGTTTGTTGTGTTCCAACAGATGCCAGCTCTTTGGTCCGGAATAAAATTCTATCTAGAGTTTTCACGGCCACTCCTGTCAACAAATACAAACATCGTAATTCCGAGGGAAAATATAAACAACCACGACGGCTAATTAACCCCGGAAGAAGCCAATCTGGGTAATTGAGTCGAAACTGATGTTCTTCACACAGATAATGGAGAGGAACTGTTTCCGTCATGCGTTGAACTTCACTGGTTTCTACACAGTACAAACGTTCAGCAAAAGCACTCACATCGTGTTAACTGGAGGCCTTCAATGCGGAGATAGTCCTGGACTCACTTAGGCCATAGGCTACCGGTAAGAAGCTTCAACAAAGACAGTTGTACAACCTGAATCTGACTTAGGCATTGTGCGAGGACACATTAAATGAATTTAATCCATTCGGTTCATCACTTGCAAAGTGTCTCCGTAGTTTTACAATATCTAGTATTTGGTTACAAAACTACCCGAACTCGAAGTTCACAACAGTGTAAAATGGAGATTTGGATGACGACTGCAGAAAGCTGAATGGTGAACTATCCGTAATCCATACTGAAACCAGAAAAACTACCAGCCACAAAAGACTGTGATGTTGCGCGTAGGTCATTCGAACATAAGGAGTCTACGGATGGACAAAGAGCACCGGTGGATAGCAGAAGCCCCAGAAATCGAGAAGGCTTTTGCAACGGAAAACAGTTGCACTCGGTCCAGCTAATCTGATCAACTGGTCCTAGCGGAGTGACTGCCGGTGGAACGATCTCCGAAGGCGCTGGGTCCTTAATTCGTCCACGGAAACCGCCTGGACGTAATTTGAAGAGCAGTTCAGCTGGACCCCATTATCCCAACTTATGGAAGGACCGAATTAAGTCGAGTAAAACGCGGATATCGAAATCGGAAGTTCAGTACCCAAATTTGTTGCATCAGCACAAGAAGGTGCCTGCGCCAGGTGTTTTCCATCCTAAACTCTTTAGCAAAAGTAGCAAGACCGTCGTGGTTGGCCCGACAACTTTCCTCCAGTAATCTAGAATAAGGAGAGAAAACCGAAATAATGGAGCGCCCCCACGGTGATTCTCATATAGAAGAGGGCCAGAGAACGTTGTACGAACAACAATAAATCATCACTCTGTTGGTCATCGCTGTGAAGAAGTTCCGTGGAATCATCCCGAGAAGGCTGATTCATCACCGGGAAAGTCACTCCATACTCCCGTTCCAATCACGCATTAGGCAGGCAGGAATGCAAAACTTATCTGAACCCGTACCGAAAATAAAA